AGGGATGGGGGGGATAGGGATTGGGGGGCAGGGATGGGGATGACAGGGATGGGGGGACAGGGATGGGGGATAGGGACTGGGGGGGCAGGGATGGGGGACAGAGATGGGGACAGGGATGGGGGGACAGGGATGGGGACAGGGATGGAGAGGGGGAAAAAGACTGGGGAGGATGGTCCAGGATGGGTGGAAAGACACCCAGAGAGAAGGGGACAGGGACGCAAAGAGAGGGAGACAGGACGGAGTGACGGAGCCCTCCAGCCCCAGCCTGGCCCAAGGCGCAGACCTGGAAGATCTCGAAGCCGGCGATGTCCAGGATGCCCAGGAAGGAGGCGCCCTGGCGGGGACTGCGGTCCAGGGCACGATTGAGGCGCAGGACCAGCCAGCGGAAGAGGCGCTCGTAGGTGGCCTTGGCCAGGGCCTCCAGCGCAAAGTCAGCCTGTGGGGCAGGGCACACGTGAGGGCCGGCTCCCCCTCCCCCCGCCTGGCACCCCCGCCCGGCATGAGCCGCAGGGCCAGGAAGGTGACAAGGATGTGGACGGGCCCCCTCGCAGCTCACCTAGAACGACATCAATGATGATGCCCGCCAGTAAGGAGCCCTACTATGCGCCAGGCACTGTATGAAGCACTTGAGGGCACATGAGTTCATCAATCCTACCCCCCTTCGCCTGAACCAATTTCGATGGCATCGTAATAGTTCAGAAGGTGGACTCTGGAGGCCAACAACCTGGGTCTGAATCCTGGCTCTGCTCCTTAGAAGCTGTGTGGCCTCAAGCATGTGAATAAACCTCTCCGTGCCTCAGTTTCTTCATCTGTAAAATGGTTCTAATGACGGTACCTCAGCTGAGATGGAAACTGGGTCAGTGGGACCCCAATCTCTGGCCTTCCTGTCCCTCTCTGTGTCTTCACCCTAGTACTCCATTTGAGTTCCAGCCTGGGGCCAGGCAGAGGCCTCTGCCCAAAAGCATCTGAAAACTTCTAACATGGGCTCACTTCTCCCCAGTCATCCCCCCACCCCCCTCGCTTGCCTGGACTATGACAGCAGCCTTCTCATGTGTCCCCACTTCCACCCATGCCCCCTGGATCCACTTCTCCACGCAGGAGACATGGGGATCTTCATAAAGACAAACCGAATCAAGTCACTCCCTGACTTAAACCCTCACTGGCCTGCTGCACTCTGAATAAAACTCACCTCCTCACTGTGGCCCCTGACACCCTTGGGGGCTGTCCCCTTCCTACCTCAGACTGCACCTTCTGCCTCCCTCTCCCTGGCTATCTAGCCTCACTGATATAGTCTCAATTCGCCAAGCCTGTTCCAGCCCCAGGGCCTTTACACATACTGTTCCCTCTGCCTTGAACCATGTAGGTCTCAACTCAAACATCATCTCCTCATAGAGGACTTCCCTAACCACCCAAACCCCCTCCTGCATAGAAGGCCTCACTGTGTATGCATCCTTTCTTTATAATGTTTCCTACTTCAGCCTGAGCTCCACAAAGGCATGCTCTTTGTTCCCAGTACTATTTTTATTCCCAGGACCAGAAGCAGAGCTGGTAACACTCTCAGCAAGAGTGCAAGAAAAACCAGCATAGGCCGCTGAAAGCCCCGCCCCCTGGCGCCCCGCCCACCTGTTCCTTGGTCTGCGCTTTCTGCACGTAGTCTCGGCCGACTTTGATGCGAGGCGTGAGCAGGGCGCGGGAGAAATCCGTCACCCCTAATCCCAGGAGGCGGCAGAGCTTCTGTGCGGCTGAGGTGAGACGGACAGGCAGAGGGATCAGCCCCAGGAAGCGGCAGCGGCCGCTGAGCACAGTCAAGGGGCCCACCCTCTCCCACCAGAGGTGTTGAACGTCCTAAAGGTGTGTATGTTCCTCTGGCCCTACTATTCTCTCTCTGTCCTATGTTGTCCCCAGCACAGGACAAATAATCCTGGAAGTGGGGCGCCTGGGTGGCTCAGTCGGTTAAGCAGCCGGCTCTTGATTTTGGCTCAGGTCATGATCTCTCGGTCATGAGTTCGAGCCCCGAATCGGGCTCTGTGCCGACAGCGGGGAGCCTGCTTGGGATTCTCTCTCTCTCCTCTCTCTCTCTCTGCCTCTGCTCCTCTCCCCTACTCGTTCACTCTCTCTAAAATAAAAAATAAAAATTAAAAAAAGAGAATGAAGTGTTTTCAAGCTTCTGACACTTCCATAATGGGAAAACAGTTACTATAAACGCTAGGCTCCAGCAGGAAAGAGAAAGGAAAAGCAAACACCTAGAAGGAAAAACACCACATGTAAATAAATTGATTATTATTGAGAAGGGAGGTTATGAGCACTTACATTTCTCTCTCTCTCTCTCCCTCTCTTTTTTTTTTTTTTTGGTGCAACTGCACTTTCTAATTTTCCTAGAGTGACTTTGCACTATATGGAAAGTATTTAAGAATTAAAGAAGTGGCTTGAAGAACAGCAGAGAACATGCACTGGGGAGCTACACTGGTCACAGCCGTCGATGGTTCTATAGGGTTCTTTTTAAAAAAATTTTTTTTAACATTTATTTATTATTGAGAGACAAAGAGAGACAGAGAGTGAGCAGGGGAGAAACAGAGAGAGGGAGACACGGAATCTGAAGCAGGCTCCAGGCTCTGAGGTGTCAGCACAGAGCCCGATGTGGGGGTCGAACTCACAAACTACAAGATCACGACCTGAGCCAAAGTTGGACGCTTAACTGACTGAGCCACCTGGGTGCCCTATGTAGGGTTCTAAATCCTTTGCTGAGGGGGTGCCCGAGTAGGTCAGTCAGTTGAGCGGCCAAATTCAGCTCAAGGCATAATCTCACAGTTTGTGAGTTTGAGCCCCCCATCAGGCTCGCTGCTGTCAGCAAGGAACCCGCTTCCATCCTTTGTCCCCCTTTTTCTCTGCTGCTCCCTCGCTCATGCTCTCTCTCAAAAATAAACAAAAACAAGTTGGGGCGCCTGGGTGGCTTAGTCGGTTAAGCGTCCGACTTTCGCTTAGGTCATGATCTCGCGGTTCGTGGGTTCGGGCCCTGCATCGGGCTCTGTGCTGACTGCCAGCTCAGAGCCTGGAGCCTATTTCAGAGTCTGTATCTCCCTCTCTCTCTGACCCTCCCCTGCTCACACTGTCTCTCTCTCTCCTAGAAATAAATAAAAATATTAAAAAAAATAAAAAATAAAAAAATAAAAAACATTAAAAATAAAAAAAAAATAAAGCCTTTGCTGTGTACTTGGGCAGCTGGGTAATTGGACTGCTTGTCCAATTAATGTCTCCAAATGCAAAAAATGAAATTAATCTCCAAGGAGATTAATTATGCTGATGTACAGTTTTCCTCATATACCCCAGAGGAAGAAACCCCAGTAGCATTCTCGTTAATAACCCTGAAAAGGTACCCCAAGTGCATTAAGGGGGAAAAAAGCAAATTTCAAAACCGTCTAGAAGGTCTGACCCCAATTTTGTAGATGGAATGAACACCTGAGCGCGCAGCATACTTGCTGAGTGTGGGAACAGAGCCCCCGCGCGCCGTAGGTGATGCCTCTGATCATCGCACGGTAGGAGGAGCCACTTTGCTCCTACTGTCTGTGTCGTACGGCTTTTGAAAATGAGCCCACAGTTGGGGCGCCTGGGTGGCTTAGTCGGTTAAGCGTCCGACTTTCGCTTAGGTCATGATCTCGC